GAGCCCTTGTTCCCTGGTATAATCGGACCGCTTGTTTCGTGTCGTTCAGAACGCAAAGTGGAATAGTGCTCCGAAACACAACATACTCTAGACTCAGTGATGTCGCTCCTTTTCGCTAAAGGAGGTCTGATCGAGGTTCCAAGACACCGTCAAAGGCCCGTCCCGCAGAGTTAAACTTGGCCATCGGCAAAAACTACACTGAGGCGAAAGCCTCACTGGAGTAAAAATTCTCAGTGACTCGCCCCGGTAGTTTCTGCACATGGTTTCTTTGCTTGCAATGAGAAATCCAAAATGTTAAGACAGAACCCAAACTAATAAGGAAGGCAGTGCCAAGGCTGCACTCCTGGGTTATACCGCGAATGACTAACACCGAATGTAGAGTTTCGATACCTGCAAATGCCTTCATCGTTCAAATTCCCACAATTTAAGTCGTGTACATTGCGCTGTTCGGGTAGGATTGCGGGCTTTGCATTCAGTAATAGCGTCCATGCATTAAAGCTAATGATAGCCACTGACGACCCCGAATCAATGAAGAAGTCTAGTAAAACACCTGCGATCGTCTCTAGTACCATGACAAGCTCTGTAGTTTTTGTTCAGTCCCGTGTTGGTTGGGTGTCTGCGCAGGGCTCCAAGTTCAGGCATCGATCAGTTTTCCGAATGCCATTGGTTCCAACGTTGGTTACAGTTGTTTCGTTCTCCGTTGTTCTCTATCCTGGCATTACAGTTGCATGCGAAAGTCCTGCCCTGCCACAACGGAAGCAGCGTTGCTGACGTGAGACCTGGGCCGGATTGCTAGAACAGCGTCTCAGCTGAGGCTGGGTGAAAGAAAGCACTGCAAAGGCTTGGCACGCGAGCGTCTTGAGACGCGGTTTAAGTCCCGCTCAGCTCGTGCGCTGGCTTTAGCAGTGCTTTCTTTCCCCCAGTCTCAGCTGAGACGCTGTTTCTAGCAAGCCGTCCCTGGTGTTTGGTCGTTTTCCCCCCTCTGGAAAGGTTTTCGATCTTGTCCGCGAGAGCAGCCATGGAAGAAGTGAGGGATGCTATGTCCGCTTTTGTGGCATGCCGTGTCCTCGCCCGCAGTAGTAGTAAGCGACGTATCTACTGATGCCTTGGCGAGACAGCTGATGCGGTTTGGAGCGGTTACTGCAGCTGCCAGAGGTGTTGGAACAGCAATGAGTACCCGGCACCGAAGGTCATCGCCGAGTCCCGCACTGAACTGGTCCTGCACAAGAGCATCATGGTCTTCGTGAGGCATTGCTGGGAATGCCTTGGAAAACAAGTCCATCAGGTCGTAGGCGAGTATGTCATATGGTTCCCCAGAACGGTGTTTCCACGTTCAGAATTGCCTGGCAGCGACTTCTCGTTGAGCAGGAGATCCAAAGCACTTTGACATGACAGCGGATAGACAGGCGAAGGTTGCGCGATCTTGCAGATCCAGATGCTGGTAAACCAGGAAAGCTCGTCCGTGCAGTAGAGTCGGTAGGAACAGCAGCTTTTTGGCGTCATCCCAATGGTTTCCCGCAGCACCGACGTTGAAATGGCAATCCCAGGCATCATAGTCCTCATCTGCAGAAAAATTATCAGGCACTGACCTGTAGCGCTGTCGCCATCCCACCGGTGCAAGTCGCCATCACACCGGTGAAGCAGTCGCCATCACCCGCTTGTGCGGTGGCTCATGCGCTCTATCTCTCTCTCTGTTTCTTCTGCTTCATCGTCTTCTTTCCATGCTACACATTTTATGCTATGGCAATTGAGTCATCCAGTGAGTCGTCGGTGTGAAATTAGCTTCTTTCTTCACTACTGTGACTCCATTGTGTGCAGTGCTCAGTTTTCTGTCTGAATTTAAAACTTCCTTATTTTCTCGTCCCAATTTTTGCATACAGTATTTGTCGAGGCCCATTCCATGCAAATTTACACTGAGCTAAAGTGTCTGTTTTTAAAGTGAACAAGTGTTACAAGATGCACAGTAATAAAACAGATAGATCTGTATGGACTGCTTCCTTTCTTTGCCATTTTTTTATATCCTTAAGCAGACACTTGAACATACCAATTGTAAGTCTGGAGGTACAGCTTATCAACACTCGCATGTGCTCTCAGCGTGCTGACGCTGTAAACGAAGATAAAGCTAAGCCTACTGGGTAACAAGCACAATGTTATTGATACTTTATCTCACCTTAGCAGGGTCTATTACGCACGCGTGCGAGCTTGTTGCTTCGCGTCACGGCTCGGTGGCTGCATGAGCGATGGTACAGCGCGAGGTCCATGCACAGCCTTCGCAGTTAGTCCATGCTACTACTGTGAGACGAAGTACAGGTAGAAATATATTTGCGCCCGTAAGCGCAGGCGGCTCTAGTACATATAGGCATGTAGCCTGTATGTGACATTACCTTGTGTTCTCGACGTGTACGCCGTGGTCCTGGAGCGTATGGAAGACGACGTCGAGCACCACGTCGTCCAGGCACAGCGTCGCTGTGCTGGACGACGTGGTGCTCGAAGTCGTCCAGCTCGGTCGCTGCCGGAATTTCGCGGCAGCAGACGCTCTCCACGATGGTCGGCATCGCCTCGCACCGGCCGCAGGTGCACCTATTCGAATGTTTAGGTCAGCGACTGCGCTCACTTGCGAGTTGATTTATGGCGTGTAGAACACGAATACATACCAGTTTGTACATCCAAGCCGACCCGGTTGAGGAGGTTGATGATCATGGCTCGAACGAGCTCTCGTCGAGCCGCGCACACCTCGCTGCTCAGAGCCCGCCCCGTCTTCGCTGTCGGTGTCGCCGTCGGACGGTGAGTGGTCTCGTACTCCTCGGAGGGGGGGTGTTCGCATAAGGCACAAAGCCGAGAAGTCTACTTCGCTCGATTAATCGACGCTGAAGCTCGAGGAGGGCCAGCCGATTGGACATCTTGCATCTGGGGAACGTATCTGGTTTGCCTTTGAGCTCTACGCCTGACGCCAGAAAGCAGAACTTTCCGATTTGCTGTCTTAGTGAGACGTAGCCATAGAAGTGAGAGGCAAGCCGCCTGGGAAACCGAAATTGTCGTTTTACGCTAATAAATTAACCCGGACGATAAAACGAATGCGCGTGGGTTACCCAATAGAGGACCGGTAATCAAAATATCGCACGTAGCGCAGAATTTTCGAAAACGTTTCATGACCCCTTTAATAGCAAAGTCGATTCCTTCATTGTTGGGAGAGTACTGCAGAGCTGTTCTTTATTTGGTCCATTTGTGAAATATAAGAAATTACTTTGATTGAGGTTCAAATCTATGCAACCATTCCTTTACAATGTTTTAGTGCGTTTAAGGAACCCCGCCAAGCTGTGTGCAATCTCACCAGGCACTGTATTGTGTTCTATAAAAAAACATTTGCGAACAGACGAATTTTAGATTAAATTCGAGGGGAAATATTGATGCATGTATTTTTTTTGTATTAAAACACATTGTTGCGTGCAATACTTTTGCGAGCTGTTTATGTTTCCTGCATTGACATTCATGATAGCTATAGGAAATATTTATTATAGTGGGCCAAAACAAGAAATGAACATCAATGCATATGTTTTTATATACGTACAGTGTACTCAACCGTTAAACATAACGCGGGAGCGGTGGCCGGAGAGACTGCATGCGCCATCTACCGGCTCACTCTGGAAGCTTATGCCGCTGTTGTTTTCTGGAGTTACACTCCCAGCTCCGAAACAATCACCGATGCGTGACTCGGCGATAAAAAAATCGTTTTTTGATCGTTTTTGTTGTTGTTTAAAGAAGGTGGCCTTTATTAGAGAAACTGCAAGATCACCGAGATATGGTAGCCCGGCATGGTAAATGCGTAGATGTGACTAAATAGACTGGGAAAAAAAACAGAACAAACAAGTAAAAATTCAAAGCGTGGGTGATAAAGAGAGGAACCAGGAGGTCGTGCGATAATTGTATCGGGGAGTGGCGACAATCCCAAGAAGAGACGGCTTATTCTCTGTGCATCATTGATTTAATCGCTAGACAGCTCTGCTATCAGTTTCGGCCACCGCTCCCGCGTTATGTTTAACAGTTGAGCACACTGTACATTTCCCGGTTTAACAGAATAAAGTTCTGTTTTTGTTAATTATATCACCGTGCATACCAAATATTCGCTGTTATCTAAGTCAAACTTGAGTTTAATATGAGTTTATAGAGAAATCTGACATTTCATATACTATAGTAAATCACTAAGCCTTCCAGGTCAAAAATTCACCGACATAAATAAGCTCATTGGACATTAATAAATATGGCTAGGGACACGCCTTCAAATGGCAACAAACCTATAGATGTAATGTAGAAAACAAACTGAGATAATTCTGCACTAATTATCTTTGTTCACTGCTTCTTCCAGTGGGCGTGGTGTATGGTGCAAAATAATAAACGGCAAAGGAGAAAGCAATGCTAGTTGAAGGAATTAGTACGAGAATAAATTCACCCTGATTTTAAAGTCTTGGGGGGAAGTATTATTTATGAACGTTAACGTACTCGTAACTTTAAATGAAGATCTAAGGGACACTCACTTCCATGTCTTGCCACATGACTTCACTAACCCTGAGAACACCCGAGGTCAGTTAGTCAACCGATGCATTTTGCTCCAAACAATGGTTGCTTCAAGTATAAATATTTAAAAGCTCTAGTTCGTGCATTGAGTATGGCAGAAACAACTTAAAAAAACGCCTTCATAGGCATTACTGAAGTGGCAGAATATTTTATTTGTTTCGTCCTCATATAACGCATATTTCACTGCAGAGATAAGGTATGCACCATGCACCTAAAACAAAATATTCAGAAAACATTTTCGTGTTTTTTTTAATGCAAGTTATTCTTCACATCAATTCGCAAATACAATTTAATCATATTGAAATAACAACTAAAATAAACCACTGGCTTTTAACTTAGCAAGTTTTATTACGATTAATATATACGTGGTTGGCTAGGAAGGTGACATCACGGAAACCCATCAAAATTTTGGTTTATATAAACCATACCTGAAAGAGCTGGTCTGCGAGTCCGTTGGTAACGTCTGCACTCTCTGCAGGAGAAGGTATATGCATTGCAAGAATGCTACAAACCACTACAAAGGCTGAAGCAGGCTGCATGTTCGTTCAGTTTGGTGTCTTGACTTTTCCTGGAGCCTTACCTTCTGATATCTGCCCTTTTATTTAATCAAACCATAACATGTGACTGCCGTAAAAAAAAAATATATATATATATATATATATACACACCTCTGATCTTCTGCCACGTAAGCTGTTGGTAGAAAAACAATAATTCAGTGTATATATATATATATATATATATATATACCGTAATATCCCGAGTCATCGCCCACCCCCCTACCGCCTGAAATTCGTTAAAAAAGTGGGGTGGGCCATGTCTCGGTGGGTGAGCACAAACACTTGAAAAAAAGCGGAAAAAAACGCCTATTTTTCTCTGCGTATCTAGCGCTGATGCACAAGAGATACATCAAACTCAAAACTCGATTTAGTTTCATTGTTTTATAGAAAAAAATGCTCACGAAGGAATATTTTACTATAGCGAAGTCCGTTGCTTGCATACGCGCTAGAAACACCGCCGATCTGCATATAGCGCGAACGTTTGTTCCGTGAAAGAATGTCACCATTATGTTCTCCTAGTTAGTAAAAAAAAAAAAAGAAAAAAAGAAAGAAAGAAAAGTCTACAAGAAAATAGAAAAACCGACCAGGCGCAACGAGCGAGCGAGCGAGCGAGCGAGCGGACCAAAGAAGCGACCAAGAGCAATGCTGGGAAAGCGGGAAAGCCGGCGGTCGCGTTGGCAAATACTTTGGCGTCGGGCCAAGTCGGGCGCCTTGTCAATTGCAAGCTCTTGCGCAACTTGTTTGGTGCGTACATACGTGCGTCCGTGCACGGCGGGCTATCAATGCACGGTTGGGACGCTCTGCAAACGTCTGTGTAGGACGTTTTAGCAAAGCTTTATTTACGCTTTGGCTTTGCCTAAAATATTGCACAACCGCGGTCGCGACGGGCGGGAAGCAGGAGCGGGTTCGCGGTGACGTTACTTCGGCGGAGACAGACTTTGACCTAACACTCCGCGGTTACGTTAACAAACTCTTCTTTTGTTATCTCCATCGTTTTCTTTTCGCACGGATACACGACCACTTTGGGGTCGCTCACCGAGGAAATGCGTAAACAAAAAGAAGTGTCTTTCCCTCCTTCGTTTTACTTTGTCACGGACGTCCTCCAACTGTAAGGTCCGCGGCCGCGTCATTCGGGTAGGATGAGTGTTCGCGGATCGCAGAGTCCGCGCTGGGGTATTTAAAGGGGTGGGCGATGACTCGGTGTTTTTTCGGAAATCGATATTGGCCTCAAAAATGGGGTGGGCGATGGCTCGGGGATGGGCGATGACTCGGGATATTACGGTATATATATTGTTTCAAGTGCCACGAAACGATGACAAGTGACTTAGGCATTCTTGCATTGTCCCTGCGTATGTGTTATGTACACAGGCTGTTTTATTTTCATCCCAAAAGATTGTTTTCATTGTTTTTGAAGGGGTGAAGGTTAGACGAGTGCCGTCCTCACCATGTGTTTATCAAGCTCGTGCGGATATTAGATGAAGTGATAATCGTTATCGTAAATTCGACTTTTTCTAGACTGATTTAAAAATTGCGAGCAAAAAGCGCGTCGGAAGTTCTGTCCACAATGACGATTAGAAGACTCACGTATATTCGTTTCAGCTATATCGTTACTTGTGTCCTCTGCGTCCCCACCAAGCACACGCTGCCGAGAAAGTGACTTGATTATGGAAACGGCTACGTCACCCTTCTAGGCGTCACTCCGGCAAGGGCTTGAATCACCGGATTTAAAGAACTCATTAAATAAATTTTAAAAAATCGAGAAGATTTTTTTTCCGCCGTTGAAAAATTCGGTACTTTTGACTTCTTATATAAATATTGTGGTCGCGTTTCAAGAAATAATAACAATAGTAGAACTCCCTTTTTTAGAGCGAGCAAAGCGCTACATATTTTGTCAAAAGTTTCATTTCAAAAAGTTATATTAAATCTGTTAAAAACTCACAGGAAATGCCCTTATATATAAGAGTTCCGCAAGAAGCCAATTGTTTTCTTCAGTTTTTTTTTAAACATAATATTTCAATAAAATTAATTTATATAATCCTCCTAGTACGCAAGATTCCGTGTGTTACACCAAAAAGATATTCACCTTGCAGAAAGTTGTATTCATTATTGCTTTTGCCCTAAAGGGGCCACGCCCTGCAAGGACTTTTTTACTGGTTTTTCATTTGCACTGAACCTGAGCGCACTGATCGCAGTAAGTTATTAAAACTTTTCTTTTCTTGAATTGCGCTTTATTTTCAAAGTTATAGGCAAATTAAAATTACAAAAACAAGTAAACAATAACCTCTATCATTGCCATGGGCGTACCAATCGGCGGAAAAAGGAGCGCTTGCCCCCCCCCCCCCCCCCCCAGTTCTCAGGGGGGGGGCATGTGTTTTGCCCCCCCCCCCCCCCCCTGGAACAGACGCCACTGGGCAGGGCAAACACTGGCCGGCGGTGCCTAAGGGATATCATGGCACCGCCCCCCGGCCCTGGGGGGGGGGGGGGGGGTTTGGTTTTCGCCCCCACTCAAAAACATGTTGGTACGCCACTGATCATTGCGCCCTTGGTCGCTTGAGTGGCCGTGAACTAGAGGAAGGGTAGTGAGCTCAGCGAGTGCTCACGGCTGACGAACTCCGTGTCGACGGCTCGAGAAGGTGCCACTAAAGTATGTTCTGGATAGGCTATTAGCAATGTGCGCGGCCAAAAGCGTCGCTGTGGTCAGCTTTCCACGATTGGCCAAACCATGGGCATATGAGCGCTGTCAGATTCTCAACTTTGACGGTGTTAGTTTCGGATTGCGATGGCTCCTAGCTTCTACTGTGCTTTTTAAGCACACCATCGAACTTGTCGTCGCACCCGATGGTAAGTAGCCAGAATAACGGCAGGTGACATCACGGCGAGGCAAATCCCAGTCGTGACGTCACGGAGGGAAATCATAAGAGGGCGCCACCAAAACATCTCGGTGCTAATATGAAGCGGGCAGCCACGGTGGCTCGCATTGCATTTGGTGCGCGGTTAAACACAACTTGGGCATGACACTTTATTGGCCAAAAACGACAGCAAACAAGGGGTAAAAATCAGCCACTTCGCGCTGCCATTCCGCCAAAGAGCTGAACCGCAAGCCAAAACTGCCCACCGAAGGCCTTCGGAACAGGTCGGATTCTCGACTGCAGCGGCGCCGCGTACATCCGGGACCTTTCCACGCTCGCCACTCGTCGGTGCCTGATCCCACTACACCTTTCTAGTATGCGTCGCCTTTTCCACACCTTGGTGGCGGGTATGTCAACGGGTCATTTTTTTTGCCGTACTTTCTAAACAGCATTTGTTTCTTTTCTGATCTAAAATACTGAACAAAAACTACTTTTATAAATAATTGAAACAACTCGCGCCACTTATATTTTGTATTTTGACTAAAAAGAAGTTTTTAGCGGCTCAGACCAGTAGAAAGCACAGGACCAAAAACGTCACATATCGCGAGCTTTCGGTACCGCGGTTCGCCCCCGTAGGTGGAAGAGGTTTCTGTGTCGTCCGGTTAAAATATGACGCACTGGTTACTCTCTGGCTTGCCCGAACCCCAAGAGACGTGGAAACCGCAAAAAAAAAAAAAAAAAGGTTGACGCTTAAATATGATTGTAGGACCCCTTTAAAGCTTGCGCAGTTGAAAAAGTCGTCATTTAACTTCCTCTCAGACGCCATTTTCTCCCGAAAACAATAATCTTTTTTTTCTTTAAAAATGAGACGTCTACAATTATTTTTGATGCCAAATTAGAGAGCAGCTCTAGAGGAGGAGAAGGGGAGGGTACTCTCTCCTCCTCTTCGTACCCTCTCGTCCTCCTATCTTTGTCCTCCCTCCTCCTCCTCTTCCTCACCTTCCTCCTCCTCTCTCCTTCCTTCCTCCTCCCCTCCTCCTCTCAACCTCTCCCTTCCTCTTCCCTTGTCCTCCCTCATGACGTCACAAGTGACTCTAGTGACCCCTGTGACGTCACTCTTGAAGGCATCGTGCAGGTCACTGTGAAGGTCGTGACTTTGCTCATAACCTTCACTCGTGACCTTCGTGACATCACTCGTGAACCTGGTGATGTCACATGTTATGTCACGTCTGACGTCACTAGGAAAAACTTCCCATAATGCAACGCGCGGTTACGTTGACGCCACTCAAGACGGAACGGGCACCTAAGAGCTACGCTCTAGAAGAAAAGGTTCGTCCCGTTATGTGGACATGTGCTACTTCAATACAATTTAATTTAAAACAAGGAGATCTACATGATACCCCTTTCACTATGCCTATCCGAACAGCCTCTTAAGACGATGTTCAAGCGTTTATTTCGTTCATACCCTTTTCTAACTATTCACGGGCTGAGCCCGCCCTTATTTTGAAATATATGTTTCATTGAGTTGCACGACCGCCTCACAAGTGGAAAGTACAGTCGGGGACAAAAGTCTCCAGGACGTGCGAGCTGCGGCTGAAACGCATTGCTCTGCCATCTGCTGGCGGGTCGCCTGGTTTCGAGATCACACAAAAGCGCATGCGCGTCCTACTCTGCCTGCAAACATGTGTGTTTTTCCGCTCTTCTGCGGCACAGCGCCTAACTCGGAATCGGGCGCGTGGTACCGCCTCGGAGATAGCGCTGGCGGCTGACGAGCGTCTGCTACACATTCCGAAACTCGAGATACCACTTGAGGCATTGCGCCGCTATTTGCCGTGTCAGCGCACCTTGCTTTATAACCAGTTCAGCTTATTGCTCAATTGAGCTGCCGTAACTTCTTGCTTCATAGGTGCCATGTCAGTAAGCGCTATCTCCGAGACGGTACACGCGCCCGTTTCCGAGTTAGGCGCCGCGCCACAGAAGAGCGGGAAAGCGCACATGATGGCAGGCACAGTAGGACGCGCATGCGCTTCTCTCTGATCTCGAAACCAGGCGACCCGCCGGCAGATGGCACAGCAATGCGTTTCAGTCGCAGCTCGCGTGTCCTGGAGACTTTTGTCCCCGACTGTACAAACA